CTGCTGCGGCGACAGTGTAGTCAACTTGGGCGGTGTGGCCCCAATCCGGTGGTGAGGGATGGATGTGTGCGGCGATCGGGAAGAAATTCCTGCCCATACTCGGTCGATGCTGGCGGCGACAACGCCCGTGGGTGTCGTTCCCCTCCATGAAGGCGTTGCCAAGGTGTGTCAGCATCTCCCTCGCTCGCTCCTAGGATTGGTTGTGGTCTTCGGGCGAAAGCCTAGGTTCGGAGTTGAACCGGCGCTATGGCGTCGTTTTTAACGTCGCTACTTTGTTGGGAGCATCGCGCTTGATGACACGGTCTTGATGTCCCATGTTGCTTTACTTTCGGTGCTCATCGTTGTCCAAGGTGATCTTCAGTGGCGCTATGTACGTCATCGCCGACAAGTCCAAGACAGTGGCTTTAGTGGATTGACCAAGTCCTGCCATCTACTTGCCACTTCCTTTTCGGCATCAAGGGTGGATGGTGCGTCGACAAGCAAACTCCATCAGAGTTGGTTGGTCTTCTGAGGTGGCTGACATTGATCGAGACGCGGCAATGGTGCTCAGTTTTAACAAGCTCTTTTTGCTTTGTAGTTGTGTTGTTGGAGGTGGTGTTGTCTTTCAGTCGGAGTTGGTGTTGTCTACGCTCGTTGTTCGCAACAAGTTGTAGTATTCTTGTACCTGAAATTCTACCTTCTATAAAAATATGGTACGCATTCGCGTACTCTTGAAAAAAAAAGAGAACTAACAGCTTGACATGTTGACCATTGACTTTGGCAAAAAAAATTAGGAGCCTGGAAAACGTTAAGAAATTTGATCAATAAGTTTGTGAATTTAAAAAGTTCACAAAATACAAAAAATTCACGAACAAAAAAATTCAAAAAATTGAAAAAACCTTTTGAATTTGTTTTTTCACGAAAAAAAGAATTCACGGAGTACAAAAAATTTCAAGATAAAAGCTTGGAAATTTTAATTTATTTTCTTGAAAAAAACAAAAAAAATCATGAATTTGGGAAAAAGTCGATGAATTAGGAAGAAAAGTTCTAAGAATTTGAAAAAACTTCATAACTTTGTAAAAATATATCATGAATTTGAACATAGTTCACGAATTTGAAGATTACTCCATGAATTTGATAACAAAATTGAAAAAAGTTCGTGAATATGGAAAAGTTCATGGAAATAAAAAAAGCAAAGAGAAAAGAGAAAACACGTGAAAAAAAAAGGAAACATACTCCGTTCCAGATAAACATAAAAATCGCCCTGGAAACTTCTGGAAGATTCCAAAAACCAGGATCATGTGCCGGCCGGAACTGAGCCAAGGGCGTGGGCCACGTAAATATATAACTAGAACTAGCGCTAAAAGCGCTAAATAGCAATCGGGTAGGGGAGCTTCGCCTGAGGGAGGGAGCGCAAGACTAGGCCGGCCCAGCTCGCAGGAGGCAACAATATTGATTCTTTTTTTGTCTTATGCTTTATTTTTTAAAAATTGTTTAAGCTTCCTATTATTCTACAAAAAACAATTTGAAAAACTTCTGCATAAAATATATACACATACTCTACATAAAACATTTAAAAAATGTTAATCTAGCATTTGTAAAATGTTAAATGTGTGTAAAATTCCTATCTCATGTACACAAAAAATGTATAGAAACAATATACAATGTGTCTAAAAAAGTTAGTCATGTAGTTAAAAATTTGTTAATCAAGCATTTGATTTTTTTTGTATATTTCAAAATGTTAAACATGTACATAAGAGTTCCTGATGTATACAAAAATTTAGAGCCTGTATTAAAAAAATTAACATAAAAAACATACATTTTCAAAATGTTGATGTGTATAAAAAAATACTAATCATATATTTGAAAATGTTAACCATGTATAAAAGAATGCTCATGATATATAACCAAAATGTACCATGTGCCTAAAATAAGTAGTCATCAAACACAAAAAATAAAAGAAATACTAATCCTCTACATAATTCTTTAAGCGTGTAATAAAAATATTCTAATATATAGAATTATTCTAAAAGTCGTATTATAAAATCTGTACATAAAAACACAACTTTTTTAATATTGATCGCGTATAGTAAATGTTAATAATATATTAATAAAATGTTCAATGTGTATTAAAAAATGTTGCTGATATACACCGAAAAAGTAAAGTGCGTATGAAAAAATTAGTCATCAAACATATTTAGAAATATTAGTCATGTGTTTGAAAAATGTTAAACATGTATAAGAAAATGTTTCTGTTGTATAAGTAAAACGTAAAAATATGTATGAAAAGCAATCGAGTGTTGTAGAAAAAGGATAGAAACAAGAGAAATTGGTGAAAACCGAAGAAACAGAAGAAAGAAAGAAAAGAAACACCTCAGAAAGTTAGAAAAATGGAAAGCCTAAAGAAAACCATGAAAACCCATGAGATAACAAAGAGAACCAAGTAAAATAAAATAAAACCAAAGAAAACTGATGGAACCTATGAAAGAAACAAAAACAGTGAAAAAAAAAGAAAATAGAATAGTAAAGAAAACCTATAAAAATGGAGAAAGGAATAAACCAACCCAAATAAATATGAAAAAAAAAGAAATAAAAAACCAATGATACGGAATAAAATGAAGAAACTGGTGAAAAAGCATAGGAAAAATACCCTAATAAATCCAGGAATAAACAAAAAAAACCAGTGAAAAAACGAAGAAAACCAAAAGAAAAAATAAAGTAACGAAGCGAATGCAATGAGCAAAGGAAGTAAAAGCACGAGTGAAGGAGCGCACAGGAAAGGCCGATCCAATACTGAAGCACGTTAGGAAAGCTTTAGGCGAGACAGTAGATCGTCTCCCATGAAGCGAGGTATAGTTTTTAGCAATCGGATAAGTACAAAGTTCTCACAACTATATATGTTGTTCCTATTTGGACCGGCCATGTAGGTTATTTTTGACCGTTTTGGGAACGTTCCAAAAGTTCAAGTTTTCGCTGCCTTTTTGGGATGGTTTTCATCTGGTTTTCCCGGTCGGATTTTGTTTGCCTTTTTATTTTCCTTCCCTTTTATTCATTTTAAATATCATGTTTTTTCATTTTGGAGAACTTTTTTGAAAATCACAGTTTTTCTTTAATTTTTGTGAATATTTTCTTAGCACGAACCTTTTTCAAATTCCATGAACATTGTTTCCAAATTTATGATTTTTCCAAAATGTGTCATTTTTTCAAATTCGTCAACTTTGTTCAAATTCGTAAACATCTTAAATCCCCGATTTTTTCTAAATCTGCAAACATAATGGCCCATGTAGTCGCGCACGAGCATTGAAAGCGCTGGGGAGGAGGTCTCTTAGGCCTTGTATAATGCTAGATGCTTAGAAAATTAAACCGGATTTTTTTGAAACACTGGTGCCTATTTTTACAGGACAGACGCCTAATTAAACGTCTGTCCTGTATAAATAAGCACCGGTGCTTAAAGAAAGCCTGGTTTATTTGTCCAAGCACCTCTCCTAAGCACCTTGCATTGTACAAGTCCTTAAGCAGCGAATCAAACCTTGAGGCATCACAAATTAGCTAAGGGCATTTTCAATGCAGAGGCGCTTGCGCCATTAAAAAAAGATTAGTTACGAAGCACCGCTGGAGGAGTTTGCCTTTCCAACGCAGGACCGTCAGACCCTCGTCAAAACAAATGCATGCGGGAAAAAAAGATGCAAGCGCCCGGCGACAGGAAAGACATCGATGCCAAAGGAAATCCTGGGATCGACCGGGAATCGAGCGAAACGGCCAGGAAAGAGACCCTGGCGTCTGGGCTAAGCGCCCACGTTGTAGATGCCCTAAGATAAAAGTGATCTTGATCAAATTCCAAATAAGGGAGCGAGGCCCACTACTACCAAACCTGAATCTAGGCGTTTGCCATGGTCTCATCAGAATTTCATCAGAGGGTGCATTTACTAGGCACGATGGACAAGGAGCGACGGCTGCGGCATGCCGTGACCGTGATCAGTATCTGGTGTCATTTTGTTAATAATACAACCAACAGTCAGCTATAAGGAGTTGACATCTCATCTAGAGCCAAGCTTATAGCCGACATGTATTATTGTAAGTTTTAAATTTGCACTATTTTATTAATAGTTGGCCCACCTTACATCCTCACAAAGTGTCTTGGGTCTCGTGTTGCAGCTGATTACCAACCAAGAGTCCGTTTCTATTCTCTCTCCTCCAACTAAGCAAAGATATAATATTTTATTCTTATAGCCTGCTTATGTCATCAATGAAGTCACCGATGTTGCAGTTCTCGAGGCTATGTCATGGCGCGAACCTCAAGCTTTAGCTTTCTGATCTAATGGCGACCCACGCTCTAATTTCTTCTGATAGCAGTTCAGTTATACATTGAAGCCAACTCGGGAGGAGTTCACGCAACTGCGATTAAGGAGTTGAATGCCAGAAAGAATGATTCCGAAGAATGCCGGTTTATCAATGAAAATAGGCTTAATTTCTTTGAAGCCGATAGTTTAGCTAAATTTTCTTTGTATCTTGATTTTGGTAGGCATATGTGGCTTGGTGATCCACATGATTCTATAACAATCCCTCTAAACATCGTTGTGAAATGCGACGAGATTTTCTAAAATAAAAGATAAAAGTCTGCTCATTTTTCATAAGGAAGAACAAAAGAAGTTGACTCCAACTCATGGTTGCATATGTGAGTACATATATTGTGTGATATGTATTGTATTACACGACTCCTAGTACATGAACTACTACTACATTAAATGTCCTGTATTACAGTATATTCGCTTCATTCCACCTTTTTACATGCTGGACATGTTAGTGCATACTGCCATGCACATTTATTGGCAAATCTCACAACGCAACACCTTCACAAGTTTATAGAAGTACTGTTACACACACACACACACACACACACACACACACACGACAATACACTAGTTGCTGTACCTTATTACTGTGTTCCTGTGGTTATTGTGCCATTTCCGTCGAGCTAATTGATTTTTCATGACGTCGACGCAAGTGCATGCATGCTTAGTTTACCAGCTGGGCTTGTTGACGACCCTGCATGATTTCCTGACCTCGCCGCGGTCACCCTCCTTGAGGTCGATCTGCCCCATCTTCCCCATCCCCTGCGCGAACGCGTAGAAGAAGTAGCCCTGGTTCATGGCGAACATGTTCACCAGCCGCTGCGTCTCCGGCGACTCGTACAGCGTCTGGTCCGAGCTCAGCAGGCCCCTCCGCTGCTGCAGCTCCTTGAAGTAGACGCCGTCGAAGGCCGTGCTCGTCCGGTCGAACGTCGCCGACGCCGAGTCCCCGCCCTTGCTGCACGTGGCCGCCAGCGACGACGCGAACCCGGCGTCCAGCGTGGACGCCTCGAACTTGAGGCGGGGCGTGAACGACGGGCAGTGCGCCACGCCCAGGGTGTGCCCGCCGGAGAGCGCCACCATGTCCTGCACGTTGAAGCCGTGGGTGCCGAAGAGGGTGATGAGCGCCGAGGCGTTGAGGAACGGCGACGGGAGCGCGGTCAGCGTGTCGGTGTCGACGGAGCGTCTCCCGTCGCGCCGGCCCTGGGGCACGTCGTAGTAGGGGCCGCCGACCATGAGCACGGCGTCCCTGGCGGCCAGCGCGAGGATGTCGGCGCAGGTGACGACGCCGGGGCACTGAGCCTCGAGGGTGTCCTTGATCTTGTCGATCACCTCGAACCCGCGCAGGCTCTTGTTCGCCAGCGCGTCCTTCTCCGCCTTGCTGCCCGGCGCCGCGTCCAGAAGCACGGACGCGTCGCATCCCTGCACGCCATGGGTCGATGAACCATCATCAAATTAAATGGACAGCGAGCATAGATCAAGCGTGCACCATGAGATCCAGCAATACGTACCTGGACGAAGCAGTCATGGAAGTGGAGCCGAAGGAGGCCGGCGGCGAGGGTGGGGTCGCCCATGACGGCCTCACTCACGACGCTCCGGACGATGTACTCGGCGAACGGGCAGTTCATGCCGTAGTAGTCCATGCTGAGCGCGGCGACGCCGGGCCCCGCCAGGGCCACGGCCACCTCGACGAGGATCAAGAGCTTCACAAGGTTCTTGACAGCACCCATCTTAATTGGCTCAGTGATCGACGCTAACTTGCTAAGTACTGTGCTCGAGTGATCGATGACAGGAACAACAAGAAGAAGAGACGAGTGAGCGCTGAGCACACATGCTATAGGAGTGCAGCGTGAGCCGGTATTTATAGCCGTAGCATGCATGTACGTGCATGATTGATTGGGTTGTGTTGTGTGTGACCTAGAGTAGCACTAGTTTAACGTATGTAATGGAACATAGTGCAGTACATGGATGAACCCAAAAACAGGGCACTACTAAGAATAGTGAGATGTTCTGCCTAAGTCAAAAATCTCTCAGACTCGACCGGTCACCAATTCACCATGCATGCGCTAGTGGTACGAGTATAGTACTGTTCAGTTTTTACGTCCAGCCGGATCCCAAAATACTTAAGCGGGTAATTCTCAAAATAAAATAAAAAATACAAGCGGATATCCACCGTATTTTTTCATCCAATGGTCGCTGCATTTTAATTTGCACATATATTGACATAACTATAATTATATTTAATATAACAAGTTTTAGACAATTATAGGGCACATCAACAAAGAACAGAACATAACAAATTATTTGCTATGGCAATGTTGTGTAGATATAGGCTCTTGAACGAGACATCAGACTGACAACCAAAACTTTTTTGCTTTAGCTATTCCTCAATGTTGCCTGATATTTTCAAAAGAAAAATCAGTCATTTCTTCACAGCTAGAGTACTCTACCAATTTCCCAGCTAAGCACAAAATGTGCCAACATAACAACACCCTCAAGAGGGTGGTACACGGGAACTATGCTTCGGTCCGGACCTCTGCTCATGATGCGGACCCAAAACTAGTCGAGTGCGTGATGGCGGACGTTCGACACGTGGAGGGAGATCCTCTCCACCCTTGATCACCGAGCGGCCCAGTTGGAGATATAAAATCCTTCCCTCGCCCCATTCTTTACCTAGATACGACCCTCTCCCATTCCTGGACAGTGCCAAAAAAAGCCTAGACCTAGTCCTCCGCCTTCCTTCCAGTGGGAAGGGAAGGTTCGAGTCGACCCCGTAGTTATTTTAGAAAAATGACCCCTATGACCCGCTTAATGGGAATTGGATCCTTTATGGTATTAAGAAAGAAAATTGGAAATTGTCTCCTGGCTTACTAGCAAGTATATCTTACAAGTTACTAATGTGTTTGATGTTGACAAAAATGTGTTTGGGGGTCTCCTAACTATGTATGGTGCTGCAGATGATGAGAATAAAGATGAACTCTTAACTGATCTATCAGTTTTTTGTAGTCATATGACTATAGCTTACATTGTAGGTGGATATTTAACACCCTTAAGCATTATAGTTGACCATCGCTTACATTGTAGGTGGATAGTTACATGGTTAAGGCGTCTAGGGATGCGATAGTGGGCACTGCAGCCAACCAGCATGCCCTGGGACCCAAGACGAGAAGGCGGACTACTGGTGGTAAGAAAGGTGGCAAGGGCGCTACTAGCCGACCGGTTGAGAAGATCTAGATCCACGCTAATAAATCCTCATGATCTAGCAAACTAGAGGGTCATCGTTCTTAATGGTGGTCATACCATGTGGTGGATGAACCCATCCTTGATATAATCGCCCCCTCGCGTTAGAAATGAGGATTCAATACAACGGGGTTCTCTATAGGGAGAAGCTTGCTACCACGCCAGGAGATTGGTAACAATCGGTTTTCATGGTGCAGGTCTCAATGAGTTGTGACTTGGTTGACAAATTCCCCACAAACAAGTTCTATCTGCTTTTCAAGGAGATCTTCAACTTGTTCCTCCTATACTGGCTCGAGGGCTCCTTACTCCACCTATGGGCATTCATCAAGCTACAATGTCTAGACTCGACGACGTAAGGGATTTTGCGGTAGCAGACCCCTACCACACCACATGCACGAGAACAACCTACGCAACCGTAAGGGGTGTGAAATTGCGAAGAGGTACATTTCCTACTTCATGATTGTCAATAAGGAGAAGGGGTGCCTTCTCATTCCCTACCGTCATGAGTAAGTTACTCGCTAGCCACATTATGATTTCGTAAATTTCATTATGCTGGCATGTTCCAAGGTTAATTTAAGGATAATTAGTCTATTGAATTGTATCCGCATGAACCGCTACATCCTCATCATTGTATCCCTGAAGAGGGCGAAGACATGTTTCTTGGATTTGACGAGGAGCATGAAGAAAGACTACACAAACCTCGAGGATGTGTAGATGAAGCTCTCTTTGAACTAACATTTAGGGGCGGAATCATCAGACCTGGGATGCATAAAAAGAACAGAAATGACATGCCACACTTCATCCACAAAACCGACTTTTGTTGCATGCAGCAACCACAAAACAATGTGACACTACAAGAAATATATCAACTTGTGACCACCACTATTGGTCACTGAAAGGTCACAAATTTCCATTTACGACCTTTTTGTGACCAAAAACAGAAGGTCAAAAGCTGGCCGTCGTAAACTGACTATAGCGACCTTTCTTCTGGAATGGTCAAAGACGTTTACGACCAAAATATTCCTACTGTGGCGTTTTGGTCACTAGCAATCTCCCCAGGCCACGTAGGCATCCACCGTGGCAATCTGATGTGGCACAAGATTCAGCCCAGTCCAATTCGATTTTCTACATGGGCCGAGCCCAACAATTCGGCCTTTTTACTGTATTTTTTCCTGTGCTTTTATTAGCTACATGAGTCTGGCCCAACAATTCAGCCTTATTGATTTCTTTGCGTGGCCCTTTTAACAGGGGATTTTCTTTTTGATCATGTATTTTTCTGGCCCATTTCTTTGCTGGGCCTCTCATGTTCTTCCCTCAAAAATAATTCTCCAATATAACTTGGGCCTAGCCCAGTTCCGAAAAAATTGATCCAATCCAAAAAAAATTATTATGCCATTGACATTATAACACATCACCACATCACCACAAGTTCTGGTACATTTTCAAAGCAACGTGCAATGTTATTATATTACAACCATTCATTCCAGCAATACTATTTGAGGCTGGCTGGCTGAGCTACTACTGACTGACTGCGGGCTAACTAAGTTTTTACAAACAAAAAACAAACGCTACTGCATTTGCATGGCGCTGCTAAAATACTCCAGGATCATGAATCACAATAGAACTAGCCTATCTGGTACTTCACAGCAACCAAACATGTAATCTGCTTAATGGAAAGATTTCTTCTCCAAGTCTCGCTTCTCCCTTAGCAAGCAATGACAGGCTGATGCAAAACATCTGAGCATTCAAAAGAGAGCAAAAGGTAAGTCACTGATAGAATACAGAGTACTTTTAAAATAAAAAGTGAAGATACACCAGTATATTATCATTCTACTTATTATTATTATTAACCAGATCATTCTACTTATCCAGAATATGGTTATTGATCAAAATTGGGAATTGAATTGGCACATATGACAAACTTAGCAGCAAACGAGCATGGAATGTTTCACATACACGACAAGATTTAAAAACCATCATTCAAAGTTACAGTAGATCGAAGTTCCATTTGAGTATATGGAATAACATTCATATTCAATCAATAGTACCTATTAAACTACCAGGTGCGGACACTAGCTATTCATCTTGCCATCTGCTGTAACAAAGCAACTATGTCAAAGTTAATTATGTGTATGTCACATGATACATGCATCAGGCATAAGGACATTAAGCATCAGGCCCATATCGGTTCAGCAAGACAGAGTACATACGTTGGTGTCAATGCAATGGATGGGGCTGCAGTTGAACACTTGAACATATGGTCCGCATCATCGTTGACGCTGGACGTCGCATGTACTTGTCCATTTAGAAGTATGCCATGAAAGATGTTACACAAGCAAGTATTAGCATAAAGTAGAGCTTCTACAGTACATGCAAGCTTTAGATATGAAGGACCAAGCAAACTATTCTGGAAAATATCTAAAGTTACAGAAAAGCATGTATTTCATTCTGGAAAATATCTGAGCTTAAAGGAACCAGAAATAAAATTTAAAGCACATCAACCTTAACACTAAAAGAAAGTGCACAGAACTAAGCTCATCTATTTCATTGTTTCATACAGGAAGTAGGTGACACAAGAGGCTGCAACAGTTGAGTTTGATTGTTCAGGCAAGATGGCATCTTGTATAAATTATTACGGCATAGTTGCAACTGTTGCTGCAGTCCAACAAAAGATACTAGTGCTTCATGATAAATAGCAGTTTTCTGGTGAAAGAAACACAAAATGAAGGATTCATGATCTACTAATGACTTCTAGCATAGAAAAACACTTCTGGCCTAGTAAGCAACAGTATAGCATGCACTTATTAAGTTCTTAACAGAATCAACAAAGGAGCAGCAGGTAGCTGACTTTTGTGCCCTTGACACTGGAGCTCCATGGACCTGAGCTTGGTGGTGACCAATCAACAGTCGCTGCACAAGGAGAGAGAGAGGAAAGCAGAGGTTAATCACGGGTACCTTGGCTTGAATTCAACATCAATTCAACATGAGGGAGGGAGGGATTGCAACAAGGGGGATCGAACCTTGATGATGCGATGATGTTGCTGCTTGTCCTTGTCCTTGCCCCGCCAGGCAGAGGAAGGGAAGCTCCGCTCGATCTAGCCACCGTCCGTGGAGGTCGAGGCCCATGCCCTTTTAGCTACAAAAACAAACTTTCTCAGTACACACAGCAGGAAACAAGGGGGATCAAAAAACGTAATGCCTGCAAGTAGTACTGCTTTGCTATCAGGTGCAATCACACAATTTTTTTTAATTTCTACCATGCTTCCATTTTGCAGCAACCAGAAATCAATTGATTGTGGAGATCTTTCAAAAATTAGTTTACAGTTCACTAGGCAAGTTACAATCCATCTGTCAAATAAAATCGCTCATCTGCCAGAAGCATAAGCAATCAGACAGATCACACAAATTCAGTATTATTATTGTGCAAACAAAAAAAATGTTCAAAGTGCCTCCATACACGAATCATAAACATCCTCTTATATTTGACCATTTCCCACATCATTGTAACGTCCCTTACTGAATTTTGGTTCGAAGTGGCCATTTAGAGTGTGCAAACAGAAGGATTTTCTCCCCTCATGCTCTACCTGCCCGCATCAGAGACTCACAATCTGAACGGTCACTGTCATCACACTAGTTTTCA